ATTTGGTTTTGTTTCCAAATTTTGAGTTTTTGGTTCAATTAATCTGGAATAAGGAATTTGGTATTTTTGTGCATAAAGTGTGAGGTTTTGGGAGATGCGGTGGGAGTGTTTGATGAAATGCCTGAAAGAAATGTGGTGTCATGTGAAGACTTTGTTGCAGTGTACATCACCATTATTGTTGAGTCATAATAGTGCAGTAGTACTAGCTGCTGACCTTCGAAGTTGGTGGACATAGTGGAGGAAAACAAATGGAGGATAGGAGTTGAGAATATGGTATATATAGGAGGAGAGTAAGAGAAGGAAAGAATCGAAGTTCAAAATCGATGAATTTTTACATTTTAGGTAAACCCGCTTTTACAAATTTAAGGTTAAGCTGTCAACGGTTCAATGAAGTGATATATATGGCAAGCAAATAGACTTAAACGGATTTCTTGTCCACACTGAGCCATAAAAGAAAAGAAGAATAGAATGATACAGAGAGCTTCATTGAAAATGTGACTGATAAATAAAATCGAAAATCTTTAGCAATGTAAGACTGTTGTGAATAAACAATTGTTAAAAGAACTGTCACAACTCTCAATGAAGGACTTTATCTTGAAAACATAACAAAATGGTTCTGAACCCTCACATTTGATCCTTTAATGCCTTCCTCCTTTCCTCTTCTTCAGCTTTAATCCACGTAGCCTAAAAGTAAGAATATAAACATCAAAGGAAAAAGAAAAGGCAACGTAAGTAAATCAAGAACATAAACAACGACGTATTTGACACATAGAAAATGAAATGATTTGTTTTGTCCCGTTTTAGTGTAGAGACATGAGGCTGTATCAAGTTTCCATTATTGTTGAGTCATCAAGTTTGACAATTTAGAGGCCCTGTTATTTCTTAGTGTTGGCATGTATTATACAATATCCAAGTTATTTGATATGAATAAGCTATGAAGATGCTGCACTTTTGAGATCATCTTTTTATTTCCATTGAAATGTGATCTTGTTTGGTCCGAAAGGAATTGATCATTCCCAATTGCATATTTGTTCTAGGTTTTGGAGTTGGCCATTTGGGACAAGAAGAAGAACAGAATTATCACAAGGCATGTGTTATTGGTTGTGAGGAATGATGAAGAGCTTGGAAAATTGCTGCAAGGAGTTACCGTTG